ACGCTCGGTAAATCTCCACCCAAAATTACTAAAATGCTGGAATAACTTGTTTTGGAAAAGAGTGTGTGGTTCATATGAGTGCATGAATGTGTGATATTGATACAACCTTGAAAAGATGGGTTATGTGAGTTTATATTAAAAATGTGAGTGAGAAAGTGTATTCTAATTTTGTGAAGATGTTGGATCAATTTGGACATGTAGCCGTTCTAGCTTTTTGCAATTCAACAGGTATGAATAAATGACACTGAGCTGCTTAACATCAGCCTTTTTATTCATGCAATGATCTGCCATGAAAATGTGGGACATTTCTAAAAATAGACGTTTTGAGAGTCTTTTTTCTTTATCAAGAACCTCAATACTACCATAATTCATAGAGTGACCTGTGTTGTTAATATGCGACGCCAAAGCACATCTTTCTGGATGTAATCTGGCATCACTTTTGTCAGGCTGTATAATCCCTTTAATTGTTGTTTTGCTTGTAAATCAGTTCTCACAGTCAACAGTTTGTTGTCCAAAATGAAAGATAAGGTTCAGTTGCTTGATTCAACCAATACTGTCTATCGTATTAATTGCAACAACTGCAATTTAGTTTATATAGGCCAAACTTCTAGGACGCTGAAAGGCAGGCTAACGTCATTTAAATCGTTGACTCCGCAGTTGGTCCACCCATTTTTTCTGTATAAAACAGAATACATCGCCAACAATACAATCTGATTTTTTGCAACCACATAACCAAATGTTTCCATATATCAACTTAATTTAAAAATCAAACTACGTTTTTTTATTCCTTTTTAAAATTATCTAAAATAGCTGTTGGTCTTCCATTTTCAATGATCTCATTTTTTCTTAAAAATCATACAAGGAGAATGACTTTTCAAGTAGTTGATCAATTACGCAGCGACATTTAATTACACGCGCACTACAGCCGGTGACCAAAATTAACGGCTAATAACGAGTGAGAAGTGAAAATGGTAACAAGCCCACATAATAGTAGCAGCGCCACACGCACTCGGGCGGTAACGATCAGACACGAGGCGGTACCGGCGATCCCCGACGGACTACCAAGTGTATCCAAAAATGAAAATGGTAACAACCGACAACCAAGTCGAGGCGAGTCAGCTTCATCCTGTTCGCAAAACCTAGACACTATAGGGCGCATTATTTTTGTGGGGCGAATTTGCTATTTACTGAATTACTACTACATATCGCTGTTAGTAAATAAATGAAATAATCACACAGAAATTAGTCATAAAATATTTATTTTTAAGATTTTTAACTGTTACCGATGGTAACAATGGTTACATGGACACTTCACCACTGTTTCTCAGTACGACATCCATTTATTTTCAAATATTCAAGCCTGGGATACACGGAAGTTCTACAGGCATCGTGTTCACCCTTGAAGCAACATTAAACAAAAAGGCAACTCAAACGCATCAACTCAAGCATTGTAAGGTAATTTTACGAGTAGTTTTGCCTTTCCTGATAGGGCTTCAATCTCGTTTCAAAGTTTTAATAATAATAAAATTTGGCAAAACAAAATAACTGGCACACACAGCAAATCAAAGGTGCTGATAAAACGAAACTAGTATGTGATCAAATTTTCTCATAGTAAAAGCACAAAATGGGTTCCGGCCGTTGGATGTAAGCTCGTTATAATAGCGTGCATTTTAGCGTTATAACACGCCCAATTTGTCACTGGCAAATCACTTTTACGTGTGCACCACCCTTTCCCCCTCACGCATCCTGCTGGACTCGGCACAGGAAATAAATATTTACAGGCTGTGTATCAGGTTCCACTGTGTGGGGCGTGTTGCGCAGTTATTGAAGGTCCGACTCAGGATCTATCGATAGTTTCTTCTTGCGTTTGGAGCACTGTGAACGTAAAAAATATTATGAGCAATAGTTATTGCTGTTCAAAACTACAGGAACTACATTTACAAAATGTTTGTGTTAATACCCGCGAGTTGTGTTATCTGATTGATGACTATGACCCGTATTTCTCAAACTGGAAACACAGTATTCTGGAAACAGGTATCAAATCTAAATTTAGCGAAATTGTCATCTATTTTGTTATTTTTATTACATCTGACCTGAGTAGCTGAAACGGTGGTCAATTGCACCTCGGAATATATTCCACCAGCTGTTTGCTGCATTGAGTAAGGTAGGTAGCGTGTGATTTCTAATACATATTGTATAGTTTTGCTCTGATTGTACCGATCATTTCGATCCGATGTGATGGAATTCTCCGCTCAATCCTCGTGTATAGCAACAGGTCCCCTATCCAGCACTTCTGAACCCAGAAAGTGACATTAATGATCTAATTTTAATATCTTGAGTTGCTAGGTTCTCTCGTGCCCTGACCACTTTTTGAAAGTCGTCTAATATTATTATCATTTCTTTCTGCGATAAAGGTTAATACTACCACAAAAGTAAGGCCAAAGGGTATACAACAAATATAGATGAAGAGTTAATTATAAACTGGAACGAACAGACCTAACCAACCCTTGCATGTCGAATGTGAATTCATTGAATTTGGAGATACCTTTATTCAATTTACCGCAAGCACCATATATAATTTCCGCTCAGTACATTAATAAGAAACGTTACGTAGTTAATTCAATGTCAGGGACACACCATTACCTCAATCAGTGATGAATTTTTACTATTCTGATCGTCTTACCATATAGTTTAACACCCACCGTGTACAGGGTGGCCAACTAAGAATGTGAGGTACTGTATGTGTGAGCTCAATCATCGTATAGGCTTGCGGCAGAAACAGTTATAACTAAGACGGCGAAAAGAAGAACCTGGAAAATATTTTTAAGTTTCTAAAATGACCACTAGGGAGCGTAACTACAATCTTCTGAATTCCGCTATATCAACCTAATAAAAAATAACCGATTTGAACTTTTTTTGTTTGGTAATTTTTGCTGTATCTCTAAAAATAGAGTGGTGGGGGGTATTCAATGGCTTCCGTAAAAAACTCCCTGTATTTTCGAAGCGGCTGAGCCGATTGTAACAAACTTGAGCTAGTTGAAAAGAGCTATTCTTGGGCTATGTACGTTATAATATTTAAAGTTTTGTCAGTTTCACATGTGGCCGCTGGAGGGCTTTTTCGACATGCCGACATAAATAGTTAATTTTCTCAAAAAAATTAAATGCAAGTCAGGTGAGTATGCATTCAAACAAAAATATGCCTTTTGTTATTATTATTACTTACTTACCTTTTAGGGATATTTTGTAATATTTTAAAAAAGGTTGATGTTATTCTGATGAGTAAAAAAGAATTCCAGAACATATAGTTTGAAAAAATGAAAATTTAAAGGACTGCCGTATAACATTTTCTTTGTCCTGATTAGATATCGAGATGCGGTTTTCGCGAACTTGTTTAGACATCATTTAGCTACTTTTTCATAAGAATCCATAACAATGCATTCGATTTTTTTGAAAAAATTAACCATTTCTGTCGTACTGTCGAAAAAAGCCCTCTAACGTCCACACGTGGAATTAATAAATCTTCAAGTACCATAGCATTTGTAGCCCAAAAATAGCTCTTTCCAACTAGCCCAAGTTTGCTAAAACCGACTTAGCCATTTCGAAGAAGGTGTTTTTATGAAAACCTTTGAATACCCTCCACCATTTTATTTTTAGAGTTACAGCAAAAATTGTCAAACAAAAAAAGTTAACATTATCCTCGACCCCAAAGATCAGGTACTCACAGAAACATCATTTTTTTAGATTCAAGATTGCAGTTACGCCCCCTAGCGACCATTTATGAAAATACTTTCCAGGTTCTCCTCTTGGCCGCTTTACTACAAACTTTTTTTGCTGCAAGCCTCTGATGGAAGGTACCCAGATATAGTACCTCGCATTCTATACAATGATACCGACAGCCTACTTCAACACAAAATACGTTAAGTAGTATGCGAAGCAAAATGATAAACCAGCAACTTCACAACTTAGCAAAAACTTCTACACCCTAAAATCTGTATTTTTATTTGGCAAGTAATTAAACCAATTTTCCGCACAGTTGGAAGGCAACCATTTCTCGGAACACTAATAAAGTTGTACTTCATTATACTTTATCATTTAAATCAACTAATTGGACAATATTCTTGTCTTATGTGCTACATCATGTTCCACTTATCAGATTCGTCTTCAAGGCTTAATTTAAATAACGAATGCGAGTAGTAGCTTAAAATTTCTGTGAATATCCATCTGCGAGATTAGAAGATTTACTAACATTTCGCCCACTACGGTAACCTTTTTGCAAAGTGCAATGACATTGACAATATATTTCATCTATCTGTCTTCTAGGTGACAGTAAAACTTTCAATCCTGCATGTGTGGGTTGCGGTTTCATTTTTGATATCTAAAGACCGTCTGTCACGATACAAAATTTTGTGCTTAATTTCCTACAACATTTTGTACTAAATTTCGAACAAAATTAGGGATAGCGTCAGACAGCATTTAGTACAAAACTTTGAATGAAAAAATTTAGTGCTAAATTTTGTAGAAACAGTTCTTAATAATACCATACTAAAAGTGCGCATTTGGAGCAGTACAATGCCTGATTTAACCTTAAACCAGCGTTTTGTGACATAAACATAACCTTATTTGCTATTTGAATATTTGTTTCTACTTTTGTTGCAATGGTGTTTTAACAATTTACTGTGGGTTTTACCTGATACTAAAAAATGTACACATATTTTTTGTGTTTTGGTGCTCAGCAGCTACAAATTCGAGAAAATCTTCCAGAACTGAGGGATGATGAAGAGTTTGTTGAAGCAGTAGAAATACGAGTAATAAAATACTAGACGACGACATAAGAAATTATATATATATATATATATATATATGATTGATCTCTTTGCAGTGTTCGATTTGTTATAAGCCAGATCAAAGCACAAATATAATGTCTCCAACAAATTGGTGAGTATCCTTCTTCAAATACCTACTAATTAAAATAATACCAATAACACATAATTTACTTTTAGGAATCATGCTGAATATGTGTGTCAAATGGTTCATGTTACCTTAAGATATTATGTGACAGGAAACTTTTTTCAAACTCTTGGGGACTTAGTTAGCATTGATAAAAGGACAACAAGTAGAATTGTTTGGACGGTGGCCAGAGCTACTGCAGGACTTTACGATCAGTTTATCAAAATGTCTGATGCAGAAGCTGAAGTAAAAAATACTTCTCAAAAATTTTATAATATAGCACGATTTCTTAAATTTATTACAGCTCTCGAATGCACATATATAAAAATGATATCTTGGGCAAAGGAGTGTGGAGATATTTAGAAACAGAAAAGGCTGCTTCTCTTTTAATATTCGAGCAAAGCTCAAGTCATGATTCACACATATTTGCAAATTCAAACGTAAGAGCTAGGTCTGCAGGAGGAGACTTCAATTAATATGTTATTGTTGGTGAAAGTGGGTATCCAATTAAAAATTACATAATTGTAACGGTTTCACCGTCCGAAGGTATTTATTAAATCACTTCTCGATTATCATTTCATTAATCCCATCTCTAGCTTTTTTACTTGGAAAATTTTCCGCTTGGACCGCTTGATGCGGAGTTCCTGATCTGCGATCTTCCTCGCGATTCATTTTGACTTGAGCCGCCGATCGAACAAGAGCTAAGAATTTTCTTCTCTGTAGCACAAGGTCATATAGCACCATGTGCTAGAATTTTGTAGAATGTGTGTCGGTATAGGACAAAATGGTGAGTTTTATAATACTATACAGTTTTATTGCTAGATCTGCCTGTAGTTTATAGATAACCGATATGTAAGTGGTTTATTTCTTGTACGATTTTAAAATATCAATCGAACGTCATATTCGACTACTTCAATCATTCGCCATAACTTTAATCAAATCGAGGTAGAAATCGATCCACATCGATTTTACCTCTGTGTGCGTATATATATTCATCATACGAGTAGTTCAGTGAAATTATGAGTACGTTAATTATGAATATTCGATATTTGTGTTTTTATATCAGAAGCATGTGGAGAAATTTTTGATGACCACCATCTTGTTTTACGCTTTTTTTTGCTATTTCATGATTTTATTTTATGAAAGGCATTTCCAATTTTCGGTTTGATTTTATCAAACTATGTAATGTAATTCTAACCTAGAAAATCGTTGGTTCTCTTTTGAGGCAGACTGAGATTGGAAATGCCTTGGCCATTAGGGCACGTTGCTAATGCACACGGTTCTTTTTCAGATTGGGGCCACCCCCCTTTCTCTTTCTCTTTCTCTTTCTCTTTCTCTTTCTCTTTCCCTTTCCCTTTGCCTTAGTCTTTGACTTTGCGTTGCTTGGCCTATCACTTCACCCATGCATGTGCCTTGGCAGCGCCATCGCCTTTAAGTTCAACTTCGCCTACAACTGGTTATGAAGCCACTATATGTGAGGTCACCCCTCACAACTGGGACCTCCACTTCAAGCACCTGGCCAGTCGAGTCAAAATGGACCAGCGAAATATAAGTTGATAGTTTTATAGCAGCGCCAAAGATGTAAAACTTATTTTGTTCTTTAAAACTGTAAAATTGTAATGTAATGAAAATGCTTTTTTTATTAAATAAAATCTGTTAAATTTTTGTGTTCTGTTTGTTCTTCTATCCTCTAGCCATGCCATGGTCGACACACAGCTACACGCCTGTAGATGTCTTCATGCCACCGACTGAGCTACCGGAAGCTAATGGTAACCCCCTTTCTGTGATTGTGCAGAAAAGTTGGAATCTTCATTGCATTCCATCTTTTCTGGACTTTTTGCGGAAAGGAAGCGTTACATAATAACACAATGAGTCACAAATCAGAACCAGAAATTACATTGAGAGAAATTTTGGGTAATACCATTTGGAATAAGGTTAAAGGTGGAGAACGTTGAGGCCACTGTCATTGACAGGCAGTGGTGGATAACATTGCTAAGCTCCTAAATGAAGTAGACTAATAATGATGAGGAAGAAGCAGCAATAAACTTCTTCGGCAATTTTAATACTCAGCTTTACATGAACAATGCATAATATTGTAAGAAATCAATTAAAACAGTATTTTGATGAAACTTAAACTGAAAAAGTCTCTCATCCATGCTCAAAATCACTATTTAGTATGTTTTTGTTACTTTTGACTTGCAAAAGATGAATTATTTAAAATAATATTTAAACTCTCAAAATTTAAGTTGAACTCTGCTGGCAGTTATTGTAGATAAAGTTCAGATCTATCATAACCTAAGCAAAGTGTTACGTAAAGAATTTATTGGTTCAGAAATATCATCTATAAATATCTAATAAGTTTGTGTTTTTTATTTTTGGTAGCAGAATATGTTTTTCTAGTAATAAAATCTCAATCTCTCACACTATTGTTGCATCAATTTAATATTTCCTTTATGCTCCTCTGCAACGAATCTTATCTTTTCAGATTCCAGATTAAGCTCAGCCCAGTGACATTCCCTTTAGTGTTTCGACCTTGACCTAAAAAATAGGGTTGAGGCACTTATTATGTTTTCCCATCCACTTTATAAAAACAATACTTAAGACATTGCAATTATGCCTACAATGACTTTCTTGTATTGAATAGGCTACTACTTTTCTTTCCAGGGAAGCCTTACCTACAGTGCGAGTCATGGATGTGGGTGTCCTTAAATTTTGCACACTATTCTTTGACCAATCTAATTTAATTATATTCTCTGTCAGCTCTGAAGGAAAAGACGTGCTAAGTTAATTTTCAGTGGTATTGTACTCAAATAAAATAAAGGATAAGCAGAAAAAGCGAGGAAGAGGTGACAAAAACCTGACACTCCAATATCACAAGTTTCAGGAGTTACTTCAAGCAATAAATTTACTCACTTTCAGATAAGTATGCTTTGAAGTGTCTGTGATACCTTCACGTACTTCGTTTACAATTTTAGAGATGTTTGTTTCATCTATTCGGGTAGAGTACATTAATGACATGTATGATTCACCAGCTGTAAGGAATCTCAGTGTGACTTCTAACCTGGAATAAGATGGTATTTGTGTTGTCTGGATTGTTTTCTAGTATCCTAATTCTAGCTCAGTAAAAATAAGTACTCCAAAGTTACATTGAATAGCTCAACTAGAATACATATACTCGTACATACATAATACCTGTTTCGTGCTCTCTCATAACAGTATCAATTCTTGATATTCTGCCTTCAATTAAAGACAAAAGAAAGTTCCTACAAGCCAATGGATCCTCCACGTTAAGTTCTTTACTAAGCATATGGAGCATACCCTTGTCCCTCTTTTTGATCCACTTTCGACACCAACTTCTTTTACGGTTTCGTTTACTTCGTTTTTTCATGAGGTGGGCAGCTAGAACGCAGATCACTATTCGTTTAACCCTTGACTCGCGAGCACGGTATCCTGTACCGCTATTCAAAATTCAACCTTCCATAACTGCGGTCAGAATAAACTCATGACCTTGAGCCCCCACCTAACTTCAGTATATTGTATGATGTCGAATTGGGAAAAGCGGCGCTGTAATTAGTATTCTCAAAACCGATTTGCGGAAGTGATACTTTGAAGTCTGGCGGTTCGTCATACCGATAGTCGCGTATACTACTTTTGGATTCACGTCCAGTCAAGGAAATATTAGTTTTATTGTATCTTATGTGTTTATGTGCGACTGAGTCGTGGTAAGTTTTTTATCTTATTTTTATTCATTTACGTGAAAAATGGCTTCGTATCCAAAACCTAAAAAACACATTTCAGAAGGTAAAAACAAATAGTAGTGCTTAGGACAAAATATTTTATATGAATCAATATATATTTGTGCGTACAAAAATAAATTTTCACAGAGTTGAGTATGAGAGCTGTATGCTAATATTTGGTATTCTGGAATATATTATTATGGTATTTATTTTTTTCAAAATTTGCGTTATTGAAATAACATATTATGTTCGAATCCAGTGATTTTGTAAATCAATTCCCAAAGTTTGTTTTTATTTCAGATCATGGCATCTGGCTTAGAGCGAGTAGAGTTTGGTGACAAAGACTATGAGCAAAAGCTCGGAAAATGGTTCGATGAATTGGAATCTGATGACGAACAAAAAGACTCTTCTAGTGTAGAAGATTCCAATGACGAAACATTGCAGGAAGATGCAATTATAGAAGATGACTGTTCTTCCACTTCTGAGCTTGAATATGGAACATAAAAAAAATAAAGCTGTATTATTGGTGTTTTCAGCCCATCATTGTAAAGCAAACGACTCCGAAAACGCTCTTCCTGAAATAATATCATTTTACAATGCGACTAAAGGTGGCGTTGATACTCTCGACATGAAATGCGCCAATTATTCTTCCGGCCGTCGTACTCGTCGTTGGCCCTTAGCAATATTTTATAGACTGATAGATATATCTACCAATAATGCATACGTTTTATTTCTCCATTAGAAAGACATTACACCAAAATCCAGACGTCTGTTTATTGAAGAACTAGCGATGCAACTCGTAAAGCCTCATATGGCAAAAAGGCTTGAAAATCCAAAATTGTACAAAGAACTTCAAGCTCTTATCAAAGGCGCTCTTGAAGTCGACGATCTTAGGAACGAACCATCAACGTCAAGAGACGAGCGCCTAGAAGTGAAGAAAACTTGTTTTTTGTGTCCATACCAGAAGAAGAGAAAGACGTTTTACAAATGCTACTGTTGTCAGCAATCGATTTGCCTCGAGCATGCCAGAAAAATGTGTAAGAACTGTGTCGCCGACCAAGGAGAACGCTGAAAACTAGCAATTTTTTATCTAAAATGCCATTATTATTCAGCTAATTTTTTTTGTTTTGCTTTATTTTATAAAAAAATTAATAAAACCTTCAAATATTTATACTATGCTTTTAATTTTATATGTAAAAAATCTAAAGCGGTATCACATACCGATACTCGCGATTAACGTTAAATTAATCAACCTCGCGAGTTAAGGGTTAAAGTAATGAAGTGGCAAGCCCAAGCCAGAAGCGAAAAGTGTGGTTAGCCTGACTTTGACGTGATAAATGACAGTTCAAAGTTGACAGCTATAGTTCTTTCTACCGACTGCGCATGATTTCATACGAAATTTATTACAAAAATTATTTACGTGTCAGACAGGATTGTAATTTGTAAACAAATTGAGAACTGAATTCAGCAACGAATTTTCTCACAAAATTTGGTACTAATTTTAACACAAAATTTTGTATCGTGACAGAGGGCCATAACGTAACATGGGATCTTATCAACGAGGCGACAGACAGTTACATTGAAATTTATATTTCGTTTTAATGGCAAATTTGGGTAAATCCAGCCGGCGCATGAGTACTATATTTTTACATGAAAACGACAGTTGAAAATTACAAGATAGGAACTGGGTCTCATCTTAAAACATTTTTAAGTAGAATGGCAGTGACATGGTACCCTGTTTGTAAGTTTGGTATGAGTACTTTTAATAACCCATAACTAATTACCAAAACGTTACAGCATGCTATGCCAATTTTATTTTGGAGGGACTATCTGAAGATGTGATAAATATTACACATTGGGATACATTCTTGCATCAGCTAAATATTCTTGTATAATTGTACAGCGTTTTGATCATTGCTAGTTGAGATGGACAAAAACGCTCAAATATTGATAGCCGGCATTTCCGTCATTTGGACTGATAATGATTTCATATTCTAGGGTCATTAATCATTTATGAACACCTTCAAAATGAGGTTTACAAAATGGCGCCTAGCCTGCATTTTGAAGCTTTCTACTGCGACTTAAATGCTAAATTTTACCATCCATGCATCAACTTCTGATCTATGCATGAACTACTGATCCATTGTACGAGGTTTGTTCAAAAAGTATCGCAAATTTTGAATCTTCGCGAGCTACTTATGTTCGATTTTCGATCTTTTTGTACTCATAACTCTCACTAATGTTGACAATATAGTCTATTTTAAATGTTCAGTCTGTATTTGATAGCTATTGTGCGTGGACGTGTTATAGCGTGTCTCCAATTTTTGTTTGTTCCAAAAAATGCATCAAAGAATTTGTATTAAACTTTATGTAAAAAACAACTTGAAGTGCGCGGACATATTCCAAATGTTGATTGTTGCGAAGCTACTTTGGACAAAAGCAACGTTTATCGGTGGTACAAAATGTTTTCAGAGGGCCGAGAAGATGTGAGCGACGAAAAGCGTTCCGGATGCCCGAGCACGTCAACAACAGACGAAAACATTGACGAGTTCTTGCTGCAGGGTGGAACGGTCAATAAGAATATAATTACCTTCAAGTAATGCGCAATTTGCGAAAAGCAATCCGCCAGAAACGCCCGGATTTGTGGAAGAACAAAAATTGATGATTCCGTATTCCCTAGACCTGGCCCCCTGTGACTTTTTCTTGTTCCCGAAACTGAAGAGGCCCATGAAAGGATTGAGGAGATAAAGACGGCATCGAAGGAGAGGTTGAACAAGATCACAAAAAACGATTTTTCAAAATGCTTGTTTGATGACTGTCAAATTAGTCAGCAGATTATTGTCCAGTAAATTATCAGAGCGCGAAATCAAGTACAATCATTATCCGAAAGTAACATCTTTCAGCATGAGGTAGACAATTTTGGGAAATTTCGGGTATTTTGATTTTTTGTAAACTAGAAAGATCTAGGATTTATCGTCCAATTGCCCAGAAGTGCTTGAATTTTCCTCTAGAGGGGATAAACAGGAACACTTTCTAGAAAAATAAGAGCACCAAAAACTGTCAAGTAGATTTACTCAGTAATTCCCATTTAACTCTCATTTGAAAAGTATGGACATAAATTCGGAGGAATGTGATTCCACACATCGAATGAAAAGTTGAAGAAGCAAAAAGGAAGAATCCTGAATAAACGTCTGCGATTATTGTGCATTTAAAATGTATTATAAATATGTTTTTATAAAACTAGAATGGTAGGGCCTTTGTTCCCTAACAGTTGTCTCCCAGCTTTGAAGCATATACAAACACTATGTAAGTTAAATTACTGCTACCGAAATACTTGTTTTTAAAAAAACTTTATTTCGAATAACGGCACAAAAGGACATTTGTGAAACCTTGTCACGACGATGCGTAAAACAGGACGGTTCGACAAGAAGTGACAAGATTTCCTCACACATGGATTTAGTACAATGAAGCAGAAATATAATATGCTGATACAGAGGATGTTAACATGTAACCTTCAAGGCGCGAGATAAGATTCCATAGCATAGCGACAATGCTAGCAAGAAATACAAGTACCAGGTAATAATTATAATATATAAACTACAGGGTGATGATGGATATAACTCCTCCCCCCTTAAACTCTTAGAACGTCCTCGTTCTTATCGATCTCAATAGACTGATTTGACTTTCGAGATGATTTCTTCTCTTTACAGAACTTTTTTAGTTTTACCACAAGCACAAACAATATAACAACAAATACACCTATTATAAGAGTGCTATTTACATGAGAATGGTAATTTTTAAACTTAACTGGTATAATTTCTTTCATCTTGTGCAAATTTTCCTTAATATCTGAAAAATCATTGCTATTAATGTGGAAACTATCTATCGTGTGCGTTGGCCCCAATGTAAGATTGGGAATATTAAAATCTAAGGCCTCTACTGGGATAATAGTGTCACGAAGGACATATGAAATATCGTTTATAACCAGTGTGCAGTTACTCCTAACAATATAGTTACCAATTAAAGTAAAAGGTTTGATTTCGCCATCATATTTTTCGAAAGCGGTGACCTTGATGTTACTCGAAAATAATACTGCTGAAGTATTCTCAAGCAAATATGATAAACTTAAAGAATTCCTGGCCTTTACAATATTACAATGGTCAACTGATCGTGGCGCGCATTTTTGATTGGTTGCAGATTCACAAATAAATCGATTCATGAATTTTTTACATTGATTAGGACGGACAACTTTTAATCGATACCTCATTGTGCAGAAAATATTCATGTTGAAAAAGTACTAATATTGTGTTACTGGTCAATAAAGGATATAACTTTGATAATTGATACTTAGTGGCATCTAGAATTGGTATTTCAACTGCACATAGAAGGATATCATCGGTATAAATAACACCAGTTCTGCCCAGGCTAAGAACTTCGAAAGGATGAGTCTCATCTAACAAAACCAAATTTTTCTTCGAATAAATAGACCTTAGGTAATTTTCAATATGGGTCAGTTCCTTAAGACTAAAACTAGCTACATTTGTCATCTGTTTCTGTGATAAGGATATTGTGCCTTGGATCAGTCTGAGATAATCTAAAATTTCTCGTACAGGAATAAATAGTCTAAAAATCGAACTTTCATATTCGTAATCATAAATTGATTTCTTGACAGTTTCTGATAGCAATTGTACATTGTTTTGAATTACTTTCATATCGTTCACAAATTTTTGTGAAATGAGCTGAGCGAATGATTTTTGATTATTGATGACTATTATAAGTTCGTTTTCCTCATCCTTTAGTGATTGAAATTTATCATTGATTTCTGTAAGGTCATCTTGATCTAAATTTCCTGTCACATACCTAATTATGCTGCCAAATCCGTTAATAATTGCTCGATGCCTTCTGCTGTGTGAATGATAAGGTGATAATTTTAAATATTCCATTTTTACATTATTAATATTTTTGTATAGGTCCTCTAGTACCGGTTTGAGGTTGATATCATTAGAATGGTTTACTACAATACTATAACTAACTTCTATCTGTCTAATAGCATCAGCTATTAAGCTGTGATTATGGCTAAAAATAAAATAAAAAATAAAGGCTTATTAATCTTGCTTCCCCCAACGGCTCCGGGTAGAAACCCTTATTGGTTGGGACTTGATGAAGCCTCAGCGGAAGACTCTGCGGCCATAGGGTCGCCAGTAACACGACCACATACCAAAGATTCATGAGAAACGTTGAAAAAACGTTCGTCTTATTTTCTTCTTTCTTCGGCTTCACTAGTTTCTACGATAGACTGGTTGTGCCGCTGAAGATGCAGCACACCCTCCTAGCTGAACCGCTTCTACTGTCAAGGCATTCGTGAGTTCTGGAACTTAGGGCCGACGCCCAATGCTGCTGGTCCTTAGTACCTTCACTAAATTTTAAAGCACCGCCTTTTAAAATTTTTAAAAATAAATAACATCATTAATCCAAAACAATTTGGTTTTCAGCCAGGTCTGTCAACCATAAATGCACTAGCGGAACTTATTGACCACATAGTCCAGGGCCTTGAAGGGGGAAGAAGTGTACAAATTACCCTTTGTGACCTTAGCAAGGCCTTTGACTGTGTGGATCATGAGAAGCTGCTGTGTAAAATGGAGCATTATTATGGTTTTCGTGGGGTGTCTCTGTGCTTTTTTAGATCATATCTGACTGGAAAATCTCAGCTCGTTAGTAGTAATAATAAACATTCAGAAATTAAAGGTGTAAATTATGGTGTCCCTCAGGGATCCATACTTGGACCAATACTTTTTTCCCTTTACATTAATGATCTTTATTACTACTTATTACCAGATATTTGTGTATTGTACGCAGATGACACCACCCTTATAAAGAGTCACAAAAACCTTCATATATTACAAAGCTTATCTAAACAGCTTGAAGAAAAGGCAAACACTGGTTTAAACAGAATAGCTTATGCCTAAACTCAGACAAAACTAACAGGCTAGTAGTAACTAGTAACTCTTCTCTTGCAGAAAACAAATGTGTAAAATCGCTTGGCATAACATAACATAACACTAAAATGGACAA